TCGAAAATTACATTTATAATTAATTATCAATGGACTGAATGTAGAACTATTTTGTTCTAATTACTATGCCTACAATATGTGATACATGTACAGGAACTATGAAAATTTCATGTAATCAAAGTTCTCACTGAGTAGATCCCCCCCCCCCATAAAACAGGTAAAAAAGTATCACCTGTATACTGTCTGCTTCCTTTCCCCCGAATAACAAAATAAAATTAATACTGCTTTCTGTGTTTAATGAACAAAAGGCCATCTACTTTCAAGAGTTAACTTTGGTTCACAATATTAAATTGAGGTATTCTTATTCTTAACATTATATTAGACCATGATAAAGTAATTGAATACAGTATTTACATATTGATTACCGATATAAGTAAACAACAGTGAAATATGTTCACTAACACTTGATTGTCTTTGAACAATTTTCCTGGGGAAATAATTTAAGGCAGGAACTTTATCCTTGTACTGATTTAGATTAGCTCATAATGTACACCTTTATATGATAAATGTTCTCAAAGTCTAAAAAATGATTTTTTTCTAATTGGTCTTTAGAGCTTCCTTAAAACACACGCTTGCGTAGATTGTCGTCACTAAGGTATAGATTACTTAGAGGAAGTAGTAAGGGATCCGCAGGAGGGGGGGGGGGTATCCGGACCCCACCCCAACACCCACCACTTGTATAAAATTCATATAGTAAAATACCAAAAATATGAAGGGGGAAGGGTTATAAGAAAACTTTGTAATGTTTGTAAGATATGTAGGAAGGTAAAGTGACACCCCCCTCCTTTCAAAATAGCTTTTTCAGGTTTGGGTTAGTTTTCTTTTTTTTTAAGTAAGGGTTTCTCCTTTGGGTCGATCTTCTTTTTTTTTTGAGTTGGTATGGAACACCTCACTCCCTTTGCTGGCAAAAATTGCAGGAAAATTCCTCAATTGCGCTGTTACAAATTTCCGCGAGTCACCATTGCTTTTCCGCGAAAAATCTTTCTTTACCGTGAAGTACTATAGTATTTTTTTTTCTTTTCCGCGAATTCCTCTATGAACCAGGTAGTACCTTTTGCTCCCCCTCTACCACGGGGATGAATTAATGTGAAAGTCTCTTAAACATCGTTAAAAGACAAAAGCAGATTGTAGGTCATCTACTATTAAGGAGGGATTCTTGTCTGGTTTCTGACTAGACGAAATAATCCAAGTATATTTGCTTGTATGTCTTATAAACTTAGCTGTAATGTATTTAAAAGATCATATTTTTCTTTACTCATCATAATTGTACAATTCTAACTAGAAATGGTAAACTGAGTTTGAAATCCATAAGGGACTATATTTTTGACGCAACTGCGGCGTATGAAAATATCTCCTTTTCTGCCTATCAAAATCACTTGCAGAACATTACATTTAGTTAATTTTTTTAAACAATCAAAGACTTGAAGAAATTTTGATATGTAACTAAAATTAATAATAATGCTCTAAAGTTTTAAAACAAAAATGATTTTCTAGACAAACTGCAATCTTGTTAGCTTCTGAAAGCCTCCTACCTTAAAACAGATTTGAGCAAAAAATCAGTAAAAAGTGTTTTTTCTCTCTTACTAAACGGTCAAATCTTTTTGTTTTTGTATCACTTTGTATAATTATATGACTACTTAACCATATTTAAAAATAAGAAATATTTATATATAAGAAGTATATAAAAATAACTAATATATCCTAAAACATTAAGAAAAACAGAGAAAATCCGGATTAGCCAATATCTATTTAAGTTAAATAATGTCAATTAATTTGGTAGAATCATCTGATAGACCCGGTACGGTAACATCTTTTTGTGCAAAAAGAAAAACATTTTATCTTTTAAAATAGAAGTAGGCATCACATGATTAACAACAGTAATTTTTTACTCTAAATGTCAAGGAAAAAGATAATGACCTTGACCTGACCTTGTTTCTAAAATAAAACGGTCAAATTTAATCTAATTGATACTATCACTTAGTGATATTGTCTTCTTAAATCTATGAAAATTTCATTAATTTTTAAATACAAGAAATATGAGTAGAATAAGAGAAGAATCCCTCCTTAACCTATACATCTTCACAATGTCGAAGTTTTGTGAAATCCTTCCTATTTAAAAAGGTTTGAAGAGAAACGATATCACAAAACTTTGACATTGTGAAGATGTATAGGTTAACACGTATAAAAACATCGTTAAAACATGCTGTCTGTTCAATAACCCGTAGATCCTAATATATTCATGTCGGAACAAGCTGCATTTTTTGAAAACAAATTATATTAATAGCTGATAATTTCGATGTTGGAAACTGCTGAAAGAAAAAAATAAACGAAGGTTCGCATGCATTCCTTTTTCAAGGATAGGCTCTGCCTCTGGACAGCACAAATAAAATGTTTAAAGACGCAGGCAAACTTATGTAAATCAATCCACAGAAAAGCAATGTCAAGTACTTGCGAAGAAGTAAACTTTTTTTTTGTTTTTTGAAAAAAATCTTGCGAGCATACTGACATATTATTACACACAAAATCATTTTCTTGAACACCTGCAATCAAAATTCAAGAAAATGTCTTTTTTACAAAGCTTGGCAATTACGGTTCGTCAAGTTAACAAACAAAGATTAACAATAACTTTGCTTGTGCCAATGCGAGGCGCGGAAAGTGAAAAATCCGCTAAGAATGTACTGTACATGTACACCACTTTTTTCCCCTTATGATTCAAAAAATTTCAAAGCCAACCATACCAATTGATTTAAAGATTTGTCTTTAATTATGAAAAATAATTTAGAAAGCATGATATGCTATCACATGTATACCAATACATCGAAATGTACGTTTATGAGAATGAGATTTAATTAACGTACATAGTAAAATAAACATGTAAGCTGGATTTATTTTAAAACATGACGTTAAATTTTTGTTCATGACGTCGCATAAAGCAACGTCAAAATATCGCAACGTTAGCGTAAACTATGCTACCTTTACGTTTATACAAAACAAAAATAAAGTTTTGTACATGCATATATTGATAATTTCATGAAAATATATACTCTCTCAAAGAGTTTTGAGGAATATTATTTAATTTTGTCACGGGGCCGAATTTTGCACCAAACGCACTTTGTCCTTTTACACTAGCTAAAAACCCGCTATACTGTATGTTCATGGACTTTGTGGGTCACCCTTACCCACAAATGTACACCCCACGAACTATTTTTGTCAACGTATTAATTAACTGAATATTCTGTATAAAGGAGTTCCACACGATATCATGTCCCCACGAACTAGTAAAACTTTACTTGCTCACAAATATTGACCTCCACGAATTACAATGAATATTCAGTTATGCTTAAGGGTTTTTTTTTTTTTAAGATAACATTAATTTAAATGTTTTTGGCAACAACCCCAGGGCACAGGGATGCAGTGACCAAGAAGTTCGCATGTTCCCATTCACCCAAATACAATATGCAAAATAAAAAAAAAAAATCATGGAAATTGGTTTTGCCGTTCAAGAGAAAAAAAACCTGAAAAAGTGCACGATCAACGCACAAAGCAAGTCACAGGACGACGGACGAAAAGAGCAATACTATCGGTCATCCGAGTCACTCAGATGAAATATAAATTGTGGTTGAAGCTAAGGTACCTGTATCAAACACGAAATATATTTGAGATTCTTTTTACTATGTTTGTTAAAATGCTTTGTTTTAACTTGTGAAATAAAGTAATTGTAAGCATTTCATATAATTTTCATATAATCAGATCAATAAATCTGGGATTTGATTTCAAAGGAATCGAATCTTTAAATGGCATTGTATAGTACATGAATATTCAAAATACACGAATTGTGCTCAAACTTTTTTTTAAGTTCTACTTTCAGCCAGGATAGTTTGAAACTTTGGACTTTTAGTAAAATATTAAACATTTGTTGCATGATCGTGAGGGAAATATGAAGATTTATTCAGCCAAGAAAAATCATATTCCCCGAGGGCTTCGCCCTCTTGGCTGAATAAATCTTCATATTTCCCTCACGATCATGCAATAAATTGTTTATTATACTATAACGCAAGTGAATTAAGGCTAGGTATAGGCGTTTCTATGCAAATGAGCTAATAAAAATGCAAAAGAGGTATATTTGTTATCATGACGTCATAATTCTTTAGTACTCAAAGTAATAAAGAACATCAACAAAAATGCTTCGGCGCAAGGGCATACCCTATTCAATTTTACGAAAATAATGTATAATTCTACAAAGAATATTCTAAAGATTAATAATAGTACTGCACAAATCCTATGCACTTTCTCGTTTGATAAGAATTTGAGGAAACTTGCACCAGACTATGAATTTTTACCCCGTTTCAACTCGAACTTTTACAGATAGTAACTTAACAATTGATCTGTCGATATTTGTGCAGCAATATCTCCAATCCTTGGAATATTCTGCCCCTAATTAGACCATGTTTCTGTAAAAATAAATAGGGTATGCCCTTGCGCCGAAACGTTTTTGTTGATGTTCTTTATAACTTTGTGTAGTAAAGAGCTATGACGTCATAATGTGTACTGACTATCACTTGTCGCGGGTACCAAATTTGCATTAGAAAATAAGTTTTACCTTTTCTGTATAACAATTATAGCCCTAATGTGTTTTTATTAGTTCATTTGCATAGAAACGTCTATACTTAGCCTTAACTCACTTGCGAACAAGCAAAAACTTTAAAAATAAACATAAACCTTCTCATTCGGTAACGCTCTTAAATTCACTCTCAATTTTAACGTAATGTTACTGAATCAATTTACAGAAGTTGTGACGTGAATCAGTTTATTGTGAGTCTTCTACTCTCTGGAGTTTTCTTCAACAAAGGATAACTATTGTGGGAAGATGCACTAAGTCTCCAAAGAGGTTGAATATGATGAAAAGCATGATGTCGACAGGGAAATATGAAGTTTTATGGCCCTGTCACGTGATAATCTAGAACCAATCAGATAATTATATAACGCGTTGTATAGAATAATTATAATGAGGTATAATAATTCTCTTTATTTGATAAGAAATATTCTCAGCATTAAGGACAATTAGACAAATTAGATAAATGATTGCACAATTTTAACTTTGGGTCCCATCCTGTATTTTTCTGACATTCCATCGATGTTGCTGTTCCGTAGGAACACACATAGTATTTGGTACAGTTCTTTGGGTCAGGGAACTCGCCGAACGTGGAGGGACATGAAAACGCCTTTGAATCTGTGGAAAAGAATATTGAATGAAGATAAATAGATATACTCATTAGGGTGGATATGGATTGGATTGACGCTGATGTCTGATCCTCTGTGTGTAGATCATGAATTAATATTTATCTTGATTTATTCTCGCAACGTTACGCCATTGAATTTAAAGTTTTAGACCCTCAGATCTTTTATCAAGTAAGACGTTCTTTGAGGTTTTCAACTATTCATTTCAATTTACAAAGATAAGGTACTTGAAAAATAAAATTGTTTGCAGAGAATTTTGCCTGGTTAAGATCAACATACTCTGAAGAAATATTCGTTAGATATCACTTTTCCTATAGTAAGGGAGGAAAAACTGTTTTGTTGCAAAATAAAAATACATGTATAATATATAAAAATAGCTGGAAAAACACGATAATCTTTGCGTTTCTATTCTGTCGCTGTTTCTATCCTATCAACCATTTTAATAGAAAAAGTAAGTCATTTTTACATATTTTTGTAACATAATTTATCAAAACTTACTTCTACATAAGAATAGATAAATATATAAAATATGAAATTTTTTTTTACCAGGCTTGTCATCTTGAAATTTACATCCCACTTCTGCGGCATCTACACATGTGGAGTTCTTTTGGTCCCATGCAGTACCAAATACACAGGTCATGTTCATTTTGTATCCATGTACACATGCCTGATACATTGTGCAGTCGGTAGGATGAGGACTAAATGTTCCATGGACACAACCTAAAATATGAATATAACAGTGATAAAAGTGAGCAAGAAATGTTGCAAAACCCCAGATTTATCTATCATTGTTTTCAAATTTGTAAAACAATATTTTGAGATGGTCAGTTACATACATGCAATCGTAAGGTATAGGGTAGCTTCCCCTGCCTAATAGCTACTGTAAACCAATTATTATTCGCGTCAACTTTTATTCGACTGAGGAAACATTCTCTACAAAAACAAAGCAAAATAAATGGTTCACGGCGATAAATATTCGCGAGTTAGAGTAGGTCGCGAAACTCGCGAATATTTCTCGCACGCGCATAAAAGTTGGTTTACAGTAAGCTGCAGATATCTTGTTTTTCAATGAAAAAAATATATTATTCAATGTTACTTGCACTGAACATGTCCTTTTGCCTCGTGAAATTGAATATATCGAATCAAAAAGTCAAATTTTCAAATAGTTTATTATAAGTTTATATGATATTGACTTACTTTTAGTTTGTCCTTCAGTGAGGCTGCAATACACGCTAAGGATCAGAAACACACAAGCAATCATTTCGCTTGGCAAAGTGATCCATTGCAACCTGACTACATTTATTTATTCAGTTTAATTAAATTTCAACGATGTAACATTTGTATACATGTATTTCAAAGTGAAGGGAAAATCACTTGAATGCTTATAAATCATTAAAGATGTCAAGACAAATGTTTTCTCTCTCTCTGAATAAATATAATATTGAAATACTGCCTTCTTATCTGAAACAACAGGTGTTAATAATCTAATGTAAACAATTGTACTGCAAGAATTAAGGATTTCTTATCTACCATGTTTCTAACAATTTACCACACCAATCTAAAATAAGTGTATTGATGTAAAAACATAATATTATCATTAAATATTGAATCCTCATGAACACACTTAATTTTTTATTATTATATATTTTAGTATTTCAACATATAAAATTAATTTTCTTTGAAAGAATTTAATCATTACATAAGAATAAAAAAATCTTTTGTCATTATAATGATATTAATTTTTCAAAGTGATTTGGTCATAAAATTGATTATGCAGTTTTACACATGAGACATTTTGCGTATAATTCAAAAGCATTTGCGATAATTATATATAAATGGTCCTGTCTTATTAGATTATGCTAAGTTCGTTTTTTTTTATTATCAGTTCTATCTAAAGTCAATTATATTCTAATACTTTATATGGATATATATTTTGAAATCTGAAGATAACTAACATTGATCATGATCAAAAGTTCATTTCAATTATAATTTAATTAAACTCACTTAAACACAATTATTTTTTAAACGTAATTAAACATACACTATGTAAATCATTAGTAAATTTCAGTTAAGCTATAAAAGCCACGAATGTGAAACCTTCTATTACTTGTAATCTAGGTATAACTACTGAGTTTGATTTTTTTTTTTACACCAGTGCATGAGATTCATTCGCCAAAAAAACGCTGCAATAGCAATTAATTTTACTACAATCAAAGCAAAGGGATCAAAATAATGTTTAATCATCTACATGAAACCTTTGTGTTGCCATGAAAATCCATGGATTTTTACACTTTGATCAGTCTGGTTATCTTGAACTGTATGCCTAAGAAGGAGTATATCTTTCAAACTTAGAAGTGATTATTTGGTTGTTATGGTTTTCTATTTCCATGGCAATTTTCCTTAAATTGTAAATTTGAGATTTTTAGCTATTATAATTCCACAGGAAACAAACATTGCAAAGGACAAGTCTTACGGATTAAGATAGTTAAAAAAAATATTATAGGAAATCCACATGATATAGCAATGATTACATCTGAACGACATCCTGAAATTTTAAAGAAAAAACATTTTTTTACTCCAAACTACGAGGGTCATTCAAAAATTTCCTAGACTTTTGCCATATTTTTTCTATTTAACGTCCTTCATAATTTAATTTGGAACTCATATTCTAGCAATAAATCCAAGTAATTTGATTTAAAAATTCACTTATATCATGACATATATCAAAATTATCTAAAATTTAAGACTGCAAAAATAGGGTCACGGAGCAAGATCAAAATTAAGTAGTTCTCTAACAATACACTCAATGATGTCAAAACTTTTATCTCTAACAAATGGCGCTTGAACGAAAAAAAATGAAACTTTCAAATTTAGTTTTCTTTTTTATATATAATTTCAAAAGCCAAATAATAACATAGTGCATTGCTTCATTAAAGAGAAATCAATTTCCGAAGACATGTAGTCCTCTTTGAAAAAAAAGCAGAAAAGGTGACATTGAAGAACGTCATGAAGCTGCAAGTAGAGATATAATTTTGTTTTGCCCTCGGGGAACCTCGAAAACAAACTCTGAAGTTGAGGAACCAGTCAATATATTAGAAAAGATCGTGCATTTGTATATAAATGGTAAAGAAAGTTTTTGAGTGGAAGAGACTTTGAATCGGATGATGGCCGGTCTGAGAGGAAACAAATATCATAAAAAATATGGTCAAAAGAGCTAGTAACGTCATAGAAAGTGATATGCGGCTTCACTGAACATTGTGAAACTTGTAAAGCAGAATTATGCAGTGAAGAATTAGGAAAAAAACTGAAAAACCAACTTATGCTAATCAAACAATTGTTAGCAAACTATGTGTCGAGTATTATGAAGACGTTTTTAATTAGTTGGTAAGGCTAATTACAGACAGTGTGTGGAATGTCGAGTGAGAGTAATTTTAAGAAACTTTCACGACATTGCTTTTGAAGTTACAATATTGTTAAGAGTGCTCCCAAAACATATTGACGGTAACATTAAGTAACAGGAGAAAACAGGTGCGATCGTGCGCCATACAGGAGTAATCATCCACTGTCGGCCAGATACACCCGCCATGTACTCCTTGTCATGATCGGGTAAAGGAAAAAAACCGTAGACAATTCAATGTGAAAAATAATGACCTATTTGTATGAAAGACTTCAGTCAAAATTCGACCTAACGATAGATTCTATTGAAAAAGGGTCATTGTATAGACCATATAATGACAGATTCTATCTACAAACAAGGTCATTGTATCGACCACTTAATTTTCTAAATGTTCACTTTAGACGAGAGTGTTGATGTCCTTGTATCATCAACTTATTTGTCTCTAGTGTGCCTTGTTTTAGAAATTGTGTAGGTAGTACATGCTCTTGCGTATCAAATCAACTATGAAACATAAACTCGATAAGCAGGTGATAATGATATATTGCTGCATAAGTAAGAGAAGTTGAAGTCATAAGGTTTAAACTTATGTTGTTATTTTGAAAAAAAAAACAATGCTTATCTCTACTGATAAAATTATTCGTTGATTAAATATGAATCAGAGAAAAGTTTGATTTCCATGGTAACTAAAAAAAAAGTGGAAACAATGAAGAAAACTTCAACATTCATCAGCAATAGCTTGTAATTCCTCTTATAATTAGATTGAATAATAATACTGACCAATAAGTTGTTGTTACGGGACTTTTAAACCGTCTCCTTCAAAGTCAGAATTTCGCAAATTACATGGTTGTTATAACGAACTTGATTGCAAATGCAACATATCGTAGGGTGGTATTTTTCTGACATGTTTCTGACATGTTTCATACCAAATTGTTGGTTCATTTTTGTTAACCATTTTGATTACGGATTACCCCGCCTTCCTGATCAATACATAGGTCTCAAGGCGGGTGTGACCTGCTGACAATTGATGCTTACTTCTCCTATACACTTGATTCCATCTCTGGTGTTTCCAGAGGTCTGTGATTCTGCCCTGTTCACGGTTCTTATTCTTTACTGGATTTATGAGATTGCTCGGTGTTCGTTATCTTTATCGTCACCTTTTACATTGAACAGCATGGAATTCCATATACGACAGTCAATTGCTTACTGCCAACTGCTCACTTCCACAGCAAACTGATTACTGCCTCTGCTTATAGATTATACATGCATTGTCTATTGCTTTAACTTTAATATATGGATTCCATGTACGAAATCTAACTCCTTACTGCCAAATGTCCACTGTCACTACTTTTAGTTATATTCTCCGTCACTACTTTCGTCCGAATATAAATTAATTATACTCTTTATTCTGTACTTATAAGTAAGATTGAAAGAATAACAAACTCATATATATATGGAATGCTGCTCGTCAGAACGTTTATAACAACACATTTTTATTCAAATTCAACATCCGAATGCAATACTTTATTGTTTATCGTAAAATAACATATATACATATACATTTATGTGTGCATCTAATTTACTGGTTTCCATTCCTATTCCTACGTTCTATACGAGCGGTAGAGTGACTTTTCAAGCACGCACCTGCTATTTATATGAACATGTCACGTGACAAAATATTTTACCCTAGGCAATATGTTACTTTTTCTGTAGTTTTTCTAGTGCATAGATATAAACATCTTTATCCAGGGCCTTAGTAAAAATTATAGTATGTGACAATATTCCCCTTCCCTACAGATGTAGAAAAATGAGATATTTATTTTTACCCCCTTTTCTGTCTTTACATATGTGTGCATCTTCCGCCCTTTCTGCCAAAATACCTTTTGTCTTATGTTGCTCATCAGGAAAGTTAGGAGGTTAGTGTTTTGATATCAAGAGGATATACTTTTCCCCCTCTTTCTCCATGTAAACAGTGCTGGACTCCAGTTAACGTTCTTTTGTGGCTTTTGTAGGTAAATTCAAGCCTGTGTATTAAAGATAACGCAATAATATTTATAAGAGTGGAAGTGAGCAATTAGCAGTGAGAAGTTGAGGTTAGCAGTTAGCTGTCGTATATGGAATTCATTAGAATACAGCTGTCAATTTAATCTTAGTATCAAATGAAACCGACAGCTAGTTGACTGAATTATTTTTTACGGTTGGGGAGAGTCTTATGAACGGATTTGCCCGCTGGAACAATATTACTGTAGATTCATTCAATTTTCAACAGTTTCTTGAAAATGAGCGTTACATAAATAGTTGCCTAAAGCTTTGGCTAACAATTTGATTTGAAAATGAATTGAAATCTTCGAGGAGGATTCCAATATACGAGTTAATGAGCAAATGTTGTCTTATGCAGCTAAAAGTAGATTTAAATATTCTGTAAGTAAATACAAAGCTGAATTAAGCAAGTCGTACTTGTGTCAACGTTTCATGGTGCAAGGGTAGAGTAACATTTAATCTAGCGACCGCGTGTTATTTATTTAGAGGCCACCAAATATTTTAACTGCTTCCCATACTTGATATGTTTTAACCCTTTTAACAGACTTAGACTTCCGTAATATAGTGCATGTATCTGCTCACTTATGAAAATACAAGAAAAAATAATCAAATTAATTAAAAGAAAAACACGTCACAGTTTATACAACTTTTTTTCTATATAAAGAATACATTTCTCAATAGGAAGTACTTTCTCTATTAAGAACGCTTTATTCAGATTTGTTTTTACATTTTTTTTATTTTTACATTGCATCCCATCCTATGTTACATTTTCGATCTTAACATATTGCTCCCCCGTGCTATAAATATGAGATGACATGAAAATAATTTTGGATCTAGAGTAATCGAAATGGTATTCTGATTGATTATGTATTTAATAACTTTATGATTAATTAATAACGAATATGGATATTATAAAACATGGAAAGACAAGAATTACGGGCCATATCTCTCAACTAAATTACCTTAAATTTCTTTTCGTGAAAAATAAATAGAAATATACATGAAATCCAATATATAGAAATGAGAAAATCTAATCCTGGCCCTCTCCTAGCACTTGGGAACATCACTTTAAAATATTAGACAAACAACCCTAATTTTACAGTACATATAGATGCTTGCATTTTAGTTCCACTATCCGTAGATCTGTTTTTTATTAAAAGATGTTTTTTCTCTATGAAAAAAGTGAAGATAAAGAAAAGTAATCAATCTCACACCCCATGAACAATACGAATCGTGGAACCCCCCCCCCCCCCCACAATAAAAAAAAAAAAATGGAAACACCAGAGATGGGAGCAATTGCCGAGGAGATGTAGGCATCTTTCTTTCCGTAGTCACACTCACAAAGAGAGATATGTATTGATCAGGTATATGGTGTAGTCCGTAATCAGCATAAGTATATAATACAATGAACTAACAAATGCTATAAAACATGTTAATATTCCATTCAACGATAAGCTATGTTTTATAAACAAAGCAACTATAATGACCATAGAATCTACGAAATGCTGAGATTTATCAAGGCTGTTTAAAGCCCTGTAACATCAATGTTAATTTCAATAGCCTACCTCAATTTAATAGTTAGTCATACTCAAAACACGCTCTTGCATCCAAATCAGTTGGGATTTAACCACTATACGCTGGTGATTAATATTTTGATAGAATTTTGTTATCTTCACATTTCACTATATACCCCATAACATGCATTATTTTGGTACGATAGCCAAACATGTATAAAAAGTTCTTGGTTTTTATAAAACTCAAAATTTTGTAAGAGAGAACTTTTTTCTAACGTTTACCAAAAATTATAACTGACTGGAACTTTATGTTTAAAGAAAATATATGTGTATAACCGAAACTGATTGTAATTATAATTTATTGCATGTGTAAATATATACGTACATTTGCAAATATGTTCCCTTACATAACACTGAGCAATGTTTATCTATCACTGTATAGATACAGGTTGGTCACGTGACCACAAATTCATTGTTATGTCAAAAACGGTCTACGAAATTACACAGTGACGTCATGTAGTCGACGCATTCTATGCATTCGATTTAAACAGTTGAGGTTTGAAAAATTAAATTATTTCATATGCTGCTAGGTTCAGGACTCCTATATTTACATCAGCCTATGCAGGGTTCGGAAAAATAATTATGACGTCGCATTTTATACAAATGAATGTGGATGAATAGATATAAATGTTCTTTTTTCATAAACACTAAAATGCTTTCATTTTCCATAAATAATATAAATATAAATTGATTTACAACTTATTTTGCCAAAATAACATTAACCACACATAGAATGAAAGCTAACGATCTCTATGTTCCGACTGAGATGACGTCATTGACTAATTTGACACGTAGTTTCTCTTTAGTGAAGGCGTGGGCTAAGTTATAATAGTAGTTTGTAAATATTAATATTTATGTGAAACAGGTGTGATCTGACCAAAATGGTAAAACACGTAGATAGCATCCCTTCTATTTGGAAAAGTGCTGGGAGCTGGTTGTGCGTTTTGGGTTTCTTCTGTAATCTTATATTGTGCCAATACTTACTGCGTCCTAGCTGCATGATATACGCAAATATCTATCGGGATATAAATACGGGTTGCTACGTGATGACATCTTCCATAAAGCCCTCCTTATTCATATCCTGATGAACGTAAAAAAATGATACATTATTTCTAAAATTATATAAAATGAATAAATGTAAACAATCGAGTTCCTATCAATCAGTCTTTTTGTTCTTTCTTGAAGAAAATTATTTTTTTTTAATACATTTTCCAATACAATTCTGTTGCACTTTTCATCTTATTTATAAAAATTCTTAATAAAGAAATGCATACAGTAGATATTCATTTTTTTTTTAAAATTATTATTATACTTAATGGTGAGTATAAAAATATAGTTTTCTTATTTAAGAAAGGCATAGAGTGTCCTTATATTGATTATCAGTTACGATGATTGACTTCCAAAATGTAGTTTCTTCCAGGGCTGGTTACTCTTATTTACATGTATGTCCATTGTATTCATTCTAATGTCAGTTTATATTTCAATACAATCTTTGAGCAAAATTAATGAACAAATAATTTGCCTTGATTTAAAAGGATAGACAATCACAAATCGAATAAGAAAAGAATTGACCTTACCTTGCTGCAGAGAATTCTAGACTAGTTGCACTATTGATTTTACATTAGTACTAACATATTTGACAGATCAAGTTTAACAAGGCGGGACTTTTAACACGCTTTCCTTTCTGTCTAATTTCAGATTTAAAAAAAATGAAAATGTAAGAATATCATAGAGTTATACAATTCCATTTTTTTACACCATGAATCAGAGTTAAATAACATATTCCCAAATCCTTTTAAGATATCTCCAGAGCTATAGAGCTCATTGTCCAAAATGTTGTTAAGGTAATCAATAGTCTTTATTAAAATGCCAGTGAATTTATGATCAATTTGATGAAAGTACTTTAATAATTGACCCTCTTATGTTGTGCCAAACTCTAGCTAGGTAAAAATCTGTTTCAAGTTAGTTCTTGAAGGTTGCATGAAATGCAATCACATATCATCTACTGCCCATCGGCATTTAAGTTTTCTTGGAAGATTAACAAACTATGAAATATATAAATGTTTAGAAAGGTGTAAGCAATATACATGTATGTGTGGAATTTCGTGGGTTATAAAATAGTGACTTTAGTCACTATTGATGAGAAATTGAATGTATTCATTTTGGGAAGCAGATAAATACGGCTTTCTCATTGAAAAAAAAAATGTAGGTCTTTTATTACTTTCTTAAAAACTTCATAATGATAATCCCATAAGCAGCAAAAATTATTTTGTATTGTCTTGTGAAATATACATTGTACAAAGCTTTATATAGGAATGTTCAATAGATAGTAAGCGCAAACCTTATGTGGTGTTTTTACACATTTTACAGACCTGTTGACAAACTTTGAATTACCCTTCAATGGTGGCTATCTTTCGTCTATTGACTAGTTTATACTTTTTTCGAAACACAGATATCTTAAGAAATTGTGATGAAATCGTGATTGGTTTCCTTCGTAAGCGGTAGATTTAGCGCTGTTAGACAACTACCGTTCTAGCTTTCTCCTTATCTATATGTATTGGAATTGTGATATTTTTTGGTCGATGATTTTTCTTTTTAAATTGCGATTGATATTTTGAAGTTGCAAGCTCTTCAGGTAAATATTAGTGTCTGTGGTTTCGTATAGTTTTGTCTTTTTTATAAATATGATAGACTTTGAAAGAAAAAAAAAGTTTGTTAAAACTTCCGAAATTTGTGTTATACTTTTAGACAGATATTTTCGCTTCCTGACATTTTTTTTTTAATTTTTCTAAATATTCAATATATTGATTTGCATGGTAATATAACGGCGTGTGGTTTTAATGAGAGGTTTGCATGAAAACAAATGTGAATTGATACCATCTTGATGATCAATCTGTACATGACCGAGCTGTGTTGTCAGCATTGTGTGACAAGCTTGTCAACGTCTTTAGAAAAGGTAAAATTAATTCATATTATTCTTACAAAGTTTCCTTTTCAAACGTTTATACATAAATATATTAAAAATAAAATTAAATGAATTAAAATGAATTGCATAATTTAAAACAAAAATCATTAAAATTTGAACTAAAATTTCTGTAAAAAAGAATTATTAGCATTTGAATCAAGCAGCTTTAAATAACTTCCTTCTTTTGTCTGAAGTTGATTATATTCATTTGTCCTCATTTTAATACAGATAGCAATGTATACATGTGAATTACGTAAATCTGTGAATTAAAATATGTATCATATTATAACCGATGCACTAACTTAGAATTATAGAATATATCATTGTCCCAAACAATTGCTAACATTCTTTTGAAGACCAATCTTTTAAATTAAAGGATGCTGGCTGTTAGATCAGTGATTGTCACGTGCATTATATGCATAATTGTAACTAATGTTGAAAGTGCATGCCGGAACCGCTGTGACAAATACCGGACTGGTAAAGGAACAAAGCCTTGTTCCTATAAGCAAACAATGCAAGGAACCTCCTACCGTTCTTGTGGCTTTTTATGGCGAAGTCGGTGTCCGAAAGGAACGTAGGTGTAGCTTCAATGTGTAACTTATTATGGCCTTCGACATAAAATTGCACAATTTAAATATATAATCAGTCATTTTTAATGTAAAATTTAATATACTTTTTCAGCTATCTTTACTACACTACGAAGTATAAATGCTGTGACATAACCTGTTCAGGTTAGATGAGAAATAAAAGGGCGTGCGCAATATTCGCGTAATGTACATGTATTGCATGTTGAATTATATCCAATACATGTATTTACAAATTTTGTCATCATTAAGTATTTTATATTTTCACAAAATTCTAAAATTATATTCTTCCTGAAGTATATAAGGTCAAAGTTAAGCATTTAATTAATTTTTTTTTATTACTGTAAGAAATAAGCAAGAATAAAGCATTCAGAATATAAAAAAAAATCTACTTTAAACCCGGACTAATTTTAAGTGCACATGTATTATGCAAATAAAGGACAATATGAAGAATATGATAGGATTTATCAAAGTGTTTTTTTTTTCTTTGAATTATAAAATTATATGATGTATATATTAAATGCTTCAATATTGTACAGTAAACGGGCGATGGGAACAATGGAGCAGTTGGTCGATGTCAACCTTCTGCACAAAAACCTGTGGAAGAGGTACGCAAACCTTCAAAAGGTCACGGCAATGTAATAATCCTACACCAAAATATGGAGGAAGAACTTGTTATGGATCAAGAAATGAATATAAGCATAATAGCTGTTTCATCAAGAAATGCCCAGGTTTGACAACGATATCATTATTGTTAATACGTCATTCCAAGTGTTCTCTGTTCTCCTTGAAAATACAAGGGCAACAAATTTTAAAAGAGAATTATACAAAAGAAATATCGCATGATTTATTATTGTACATAGGTCCCAAAACAGAGCAATTTACATGTAGTTTCACACTTTTAACATTCAATAAAATTTCATTTAAGTCGATGGTGTTTGGAAGAACTGGAGCACTTGGGCGTCTCAAGGATGGTGCTCAGTTACCTGTGGGAAAGGTGTCTTAAAACAAAGTCGGTCACGTTCCTGCAATGGTCCAAAGTATGGAGGAAGAGATTGTATTGGAAAGAAAACAGAAATAAGAGTACGTGATTGCAGTAAAGACTTTTGTCCAGGTAATTTTTTAGTTATGCTTTTAAAAACAACTATGTGTATAGGTTGTAGTTAAAACGAACAATAAGATAAAGAATTTTTATTGAAGTGAATGGTGCTTGGTCCTCTTGGGGTGAATGGGAGAAAATTGGAAAATGCTCTGTCACATGTGGAAATGGACAACAGAAGTATATGCGAACACATAAATGTAATAATCCAACTCCACGAAACGGAGGAAAGGATTGTGATCAAACAAAAGCAAAGGAAATAAAACACAAGAAATGCGTTTTGAAAGACTGTCCCTTTGAAGGTAACTAAATTATAATATGATATGTGTGAGCCTTTTTCGAAAACGGGTTTTGCACGATTTTTTTTGTTTCTAGATCATCCCGTGTGCATGGAAAAAACCTGTAGTAGATACGGGGAATGTGGCTGTGCATTTGGGTTCTATGGGAATGGATTCAACTGCAAAGGTTTGGAATCTATTTCGAGACAAATACTTTACTTTTTTGCTTATTTTAGTCACAAAATATCAAGTAATCTATCAAATGCAATATATCTTTAATAAAGGGAGTCAAGGTAAAAGATTTTTGGTGCTTTTCATGGAGACCATAGATGTGAAAGACACCCAAAATGATAGTAACAGATCAACAGAAATTCTCATTGCTTCTCAAGCAGCTAGCAAACTATCTTTGGATTCGTCAAACAATTATCTTTTAAAATCTTTAAACAATCGTATCAACAGCATCAATAAAGGGGCAACTACATTATCAATACCAGCTCGGATGCGAAGTATAGATTTTAAGACAGAAAACAAAGCAATGATACTGGAGTCATCAGAACCAGTCTCTGTCTTTACACTCAACCATGATGGATACTCGTCAGACAGTACTCTTATTCTTCCAACAGACAGACTAGGGACAAAGTACGTTGTTGGGTCAACAGAACCTTATTCCTCGCGAGATTCGTCCCATAAGAGCCAGGTGGCTATCGCTGCACTTCACAACGACACAACCGTAAAAGTCACCTTGAAACTGAAATCTAAAGGCACATTTTTGTATCAGAATTTGAAATACAGGAATGGTGATAAGATAAATTTTAAGTTAAACAGGCTCGAAAATTTCCAGTTCTCTCATACATCAGATCTCACCGGAACTTTTGTTGAATCAAACAAACCCATTGCCGTTTTCTCTGGGAATCGCTGTAATAAATTACAGAGGTTTGGGTATTGCAGTCACTTAATTGAACAACTTCCTCCAGTGGATAATTTAGATAACCAGTTCATTGTACCCCCAAGCCTAGAAAGTAGTGGGACTAGAGTACGCATTGTTGCGGCTAAGAAGACAAAAGTAATATTTCATTTCGACGATTCAAAGAGGGAAAAAGTGTTGAAGCCAGGTACATCCAAGGACGTTGAGATTTATGGCCACCACTCCATTTATATTCAAGCTGATGGACCAATAATGGTTTTAAGCTTTGCTGTGCGGTTGGGTCGACGTGGGGAAGGTGACCCATACATGTCTGTTGTTCCCGGCTTCAACCAGTATCTCAGTGGTTATTACATTCTCGTTCCTAATGGATATACGAAAAATTATCTATCCATCATGGTAAAAGCAGCATCAAAGGCCAAACTACGGATTGATGACAAGGCCTTGTTTGATGATAATATTTCCTCGGAAATCAGAGTTCAAGCTGAACGAGAGAAATATCTGGTATTAATTGTAAGGGTGGACGCTGGTGGGCATAAAGTTGAGACCCTTGATAAGTCAAGGTTTGGTCTAATGATTCATGGTCAAAAGGATGGAGACAGCTATGGCTATGCTGCCAACATTATAAAAGTTTCATAGTGAACCATCGTTTCAAATTCCTTCTTTGGTATTTTTTCAAAGATGGTAACGATGTTGAATCACTGAAAAATAAAACAAATGCATGAAGAAAAAAATTCTTTCTTGTCTTTAAAAAGGTATAAAATGTACGGAAAATTTCATGGATATATAATGTATTTGTTTTTCTGTGCAATAATAACACAAATTAAGGTATAAGCATCTCAATTAATGTTTTTTTCCAAAAAGAAAAAAATCGAGAGTACGGAAAAAATCGATAAAAATATGTATATTAAATAACTCGCAACAAATGGTGCAAATTTCGTGTTAGATACCAATAATGCTTTCCTTGCGTGACAAAATATGAAACTAGAGAAGAACGATAAGATCAAACGCCTGCATGCTATTGGTCTGCTTCTTCATTCCTTTGGCAGCGGTTTGTGGTGATATTATCAAAGTTAAGTATTGTAGTTGATTTTTTTTCACTTAAAATTCTCTTTGTCGAATCAAGATTTCTGATGCAAACAAATCTTTACATTAAAATACATGTTTAAAATTATTATAAACCGAAATTTGTTTAACAAAATATTCTCAAATATATAAAACTGTTCTAACCATACAACTTATTTGGTTTAAAGGGATGACAAAGTCCATATTATTGGGTTTAGTCTTCTTCGCTTGTATTGGACAGCGCATTTTCGTAAATGCTTATTGCCGAAATCACTGCGATAGCCTTTATACAGGCCGTGGAACATATCAATGTCTCAAGAAATATACAACAACTGGCTACTTTACACGTGGCTGTGGATGGTTATGGCGCAAACGATGTGTTACCGGAAGGTAATCATATGAAACTGAAAATTCATATACATAAAGCATTAAGCAATTCAGTACATGTATTCATTTGATGCATTGAGGTATCTATTTTATATAGACAATTAATATGTTGAACATTTACTTGAACAGCTTCAAGAAGTATAATTCGAAAAATGCCTGTTGTTCAAAAACTTGCCCAGGTATTTCACTACACAATTAAAAATCTGACTTTAGACTCTAACATATCTATGTTTAACAAATACATTGAGAAAAATATGACCAAATTCAAATATATCAAATTTTAAATATATCTTTTTTTTGATTTGAACTATATCATGTTATGATGCAGCAAGAAAATGTGCTTGTAGTAAATGGAAAATGGGGAAGCTGGAGTAGCTGGTCGCAAATTTCCGGTTGTTCTGTTACTTGTGGCCATGGAACGGAGAGGTTTAGACGATTACGAAGCTGCAGTAATCCAAGCCCCAAATATGGTGGACAATCTTGCTATGGCTACAATTACGATAATGACTATAAGAGATGCTTTAGAAAATATTGTGAAGGTATTTGATATATTGATCTTTATTTCTCTTTGATACATGATATGAATTAAACCTTGCTTCAATTCGCGGAGTAATGAATTGGTTTTTGTGTCGCGAGTTCGAATCCGACTGCTGGACATGGAGACCGAGATTGCATAAACTTGTGGCAGTTAATCCTGGCACACAAAGGATCCCATGCAACTCTATGGCTATAATTGCTGAATGCAGTTCATAACTTGTATTCTTGCACAAGCAATTGGAAGCGTACCAACACGAGTGAAACATTAAGGCACGTAAAACAACCACACATTAAAACAACCGACGAAACTTCTAAAAAAAAGCCATCTGCAAGCATGATATCTAAGTTTGCTCCTAAAGTTAAGATATTGCACACCCGTCCTAAGATGAAAAAAAAAAACGTCCTTTACTCTCTACAACCGTCACCTTCCTAGTTCCTAAGTACTTAAAATTGCACAATCGTAATGTGCCATTAGAATGTTATCTAAAACAATTAATGAGTTGAACTAATTAAGGATTGGAATTGTTGATGACAACATTAGTGAATTTGTTAAAATTTATCTTTATGTAGTTCTCCATTTCGTCCAGATGTATTTGAAAAAAAAATGGAGAAATTGAAATTTCTTTTTCTGATCAATATACGCTGAAATTTAAAGCTTCAGTGGTCATTTCTTAGTCGAGGTCTGCATGAAATTGAAGGAGACCCTATCGTATCAAAGAAAAGTTGAGTTGCTTATAAGCAAAGTTGTATAAGTTCCCTTTACACTATCCATTAGACTATTTACTATAGTAAAAGTAATTTACGTCCGTTTGTCAGTTTGTTAATTATATAAAATTAATTTATCTGTTAGCTATGCAAGTCCTATCACAATGAAATATTCATACAATCCAATCTTTTAACCTTTTTCCAAGAATTTTTTAAGAATTATCTCCCAAATCTCTCCTAGTTATATCATCCTAAAAACTGTCTTAGGACCATCCTAAGTTTTATCCTATGACACAATAAGTCATATCTTAAGACTTTTAAATGACACTTTCGAAAGCATACCTACTGTTCTCGAGACAATGAACTGAAAATATACTTAAGTTATAACTTCAAATAATAAAATAATTTTGAAAAGAGATTAAAGTTTTTGTCATGAGCTTGCATTTGAATATTGCTCCAATTTTTTTTCAAATAAAGTGGTGTTGATTGAAAATAATGAAAAAGAAAACCTAGAAATGATGCGCCCCCAGCTCCTACACCCATCCTGAAAATAAGTGAAATAAAACAAAATGCATGAGAAGGAGACAATTGAATAATGTTGACTGAAAATAAGTTTGCAATGTCATCTAATCATCAATTATCTTTGAAGTGAATTTAGACTCTACCAAAAATATGGTATTCGAATTTTAATATCTCTATATATCATTGTTATATAAGTTAGATTTTATTATGTTGCAAAGTTCATGGCGGATGGTCAGCATGGGATTCTTGGAAGCCTCAGGGCTCATGTTCTGTGACTTGTGGATCAGGAATTCGAAAATTTACAAGATCTCGGTCATGCACCAATCCAGCTCCAAAATACGGAGGAAGAAGTTGTAGCGGACAAAAAACAGATTCTACGACAAGATCGTGTTTTTCTGGCAAACAGTGTCCAGGTAGCTTCAATTTTCCTTCATTTAGACCGTTAACGAGGATCACAAGTCTAATAGTTTATATCTAATACCCTGCAAATTATTATGCGTGCATACACATATGTATGAAAAGAGGCTAAGGCTGATATGTAGTTATTCGTTCAAATGGGATAAGTATTACATTCAAATGTATTAGAATATGAGTACATCCGAGTTTTTAAACATTTTTTTTTCATTTACATTAAAGTTAATGGTAGATGGGGGAAATGGACCGCGCTAATGCCGAAGTCACCTTGCTCTGTAACATGTGGGACTGGGGTACAGATATTCTACAAGAAAAGAGATTGCAATTCTCCTAAGCCGAGATATGGGGGCAATAACTGCCGAGGAAAAGCACAACAAAAGTTAAGGAGGAAATGCTCTACAAATATTGCTTGTCCAGAAAAGGGTAAATCATTAACTAAGATATTGTTATTTACACTTGTACAAAAAAAAAAAAAAAAAAAAAAAAAAAAAAAAAATCTGTAGGATTTACTGAAAGTTAAAAGAATTCGATAACTCAATATGAAAGTACAATTTACGTTCCAGATTCTATCACATGCAGAGAAAGACAATGTAGCGAGTTTGGTACGTGTAAATGTTCTTTTGGCTTTTATGGAGACGGATTTACGTGTACAGGTACATAAAATACACATTTTTCGTTTAATAGTATCAATATCTTATCAGTCCTATTGTATAACATTAAGAAAAAAAGTAGGAGAAAATTGCTTTTATGGTATTATAATATTTTACAGGAAGCTTAGGAAAGAAGTTTTTGGTATTGTTTATGGAAAACGCAGTTGATTACTTTAGCTACAAAGACCATTATTCCAGACTTTACATCGCCTCTAGAAGAAATTGCACAGCTACGTTAAGAGCATCTTCCACGTTACCTACTAACATGAAAGCAAAGGTTTCTAGATCTCTTCAAGTGAGAGAAGGACAAACTAAATTTGATGTTCCAATTAAAATGCGAACGCTAGATTTCAAACAAGAGAAGAAAGGGATAATTGTTGAGACATCTGAGGTGGTTTCCCTAATTGCTATGAGTTACGATGGTTATTCCTCAGATACGACACTCATTCTCCCAGTAGAAAGACTTGGTCGTCGATATTTGATAGGTTCCTCAGCCCCATATAACCCAGATTCCTCTGACTATAACAGTCAAGTTGCCTTTGTTGCTGCAGAGAATAATACAACAGTTTCTGTAACCTTCAACATAGACGATGGACACGTTCTTAAATTCAAAAACAAAAAGTATAAGACTGGTCATAAAATGACGTTTAACCTGAATCAATTTGAGGACTTCCAGATATCTCACAATCGCGACCTAACCGGAACGATAATTGAATCATCGAAACCCATTGCAGTATTTGCAGGAAACAGATGTAATAAACTGAAGAGACACGGTTACTGCAGTCATCTCGTGGAACAGCTTCCTCCTACTACTGATTTTGACACAACATTTATAGTTCCCCCAAGCCTTCGAAGGAGTGGAGGCATGATTCGAATCATTGCGTTGTCCAGCACAAAAATTAAGTACGAAATCGACGGCGTGAAGGCAAATAAATCATTGCAAAAATCTCGCCATATTGATATCGAAGTGAAAGATAAAAGCATCACAGTCATCAAGTCGGATAAGCCCGTTTTGGTTCTTACTTTTGCCGTTCGAATCAGTCGTCGAGGCGGTGGCGATCCATACATGACAATGGTACCCGGGATGTCGCAGTATATTCATCAATACTATGTGCCGATTCCTAAAGGTTTCGATGCCAATTATATGACAATCATGATTTCCTCTAAGGCCAAGAAGTATCTGCGTCTCAACAAAAAACCGCTGTCGCCTGATTCCTTTGTGTCAGAGAAATCTGTGAAAGTTAATGGAGTTGATTATCTTACCATCGTCTTGAAAGTTTCAGGTGGTGCCCATGAGGTTGAAGCAACAGATGGAACAAGATTCGGTTTATTGATCCATGGACAAGGAAGAGAAGATGGATATGGCTACGCAGGAAACGTTGTCCGCCCGGGCATTGTGTGAATATTTGAAATAATTTTGTTCCATAAGAAAAATGGTATGATAATAAATAAATCCTATGACAAATTTTTGTGTCTTGTTTTATCATGAGATAATGGAAACAAAGATTAATATATTCTGAAATATTAGTTCGTTTAAATTTTCTTAAGAAAAACATGTGTGTGCCGAAAATTTTTTTTTTTCAGTTCAAATACAGCGGACGATGTGTTTGCTGTGGACAACTTTTAAAAAAAAAAGTATTTGAAAAATATTGCTCAGCAAAATAGCAAGATTGCAAAAACCTTACTTGGCCCTGAAAATTTTTGAGAAATCATATTTATTCAGTTCAACTGGACAACGCCTAAATTATTTTGAGGCATAGAGATTGTAAATCTAATAAAAATTATTTCTTCAAGTTTCACCATTTCAATATTAGTTTAACATCCAAATATAATAGTACATTCTAATAGAGCTGCTTTTGATGTCAAACACCTTGTAGAGAGGGTATTTATAGGCATTGCCTGTTACCCAATCAATTCATTATTTTGAATAAATATTGTTTAAAAAAAAAAAAAGAAGGAAAAAAAAGCACCTATGCTATATTTTTATGGCCATGTATATGTTGCTGGTATTTACAACAGGAAGAAACATAACAAAAAACTTTGTTTTTGTCATACCGAACTGATCCCAACGTGCAATAATACTAGAGCTTAAAGGAGTAAGCAGCAGCTATTTAAAAATTTTTGCAAAGTTTTAAATCTTTAGAAAACCAATTTAATTCCTTTCAGGAAAATTACAGACATTTTTGAAATTTTAAGCCCCAGAAACTTGGGGAGACACTAACAGCTCAATTTTATGCAGTTTAAATGTAGCTGTAGACTTCCTTCGGGCTGACGTAATTAGTGAATGAATAGGCTTTTCTTGCTTTCTAGAGGGAGATCAACCTGATAAATGACCATGGACGTTCAGTTACAAATCAAACTTCTTTATTTACAAAGGATCAATGCGTATTTTCTGAAATCCAATCGTCTTTGGCCTTGATTCTATATCATAATTGTCATTACTGTTGAAATTGTGATAAGTCATCACGTTTATGACAAAGCTTGGTTGTTAGGCTACCATTAACGTCATTTTCTAGTAAAATACCAAAATATGAAACAGATGTGTCAGACTCTTTTATTTCAAGCTCATTGGTATGTATCGAGTATGATAATTGAAATTCATTTTCATTGTTGGGAATATTAAAAAATATTGAAAACCGACATCAAATCAAATAGAATCAAATCCAAGCTCCTCCAAAATACAATTAAAATAATGAGACTTCCAAACAAAAAAAAGTTGTTACCCGCTTTATCAGCTGGGACCAGGACGAACTGATCGTGAAATCTATTTAAATAATACAAGTTAGAATGAAACATGTGCGTTAACATTAATTTTTTTGTTTAGCAAAGAGAGAGCTCAATAAGTTACTCGAATACTTCGTACGTGTACGTATGCTTGTAAATGCTTTAAATGTGAAGGTCATTATCGTAAGGTAGTTTCAAACTTTTTTAATCTAATCCACTTAAATTTATGATGAACATCCCAATTTAAATTTAAGCTATGCATAATTTATGCATATATATGCATATATTTAGAAAAATAATACATTTATAGAATAATCCGCAGTCAAAATAAGTTGATGTTGACGAATTTCAACAACGTCGTTTAAAGTCAGTATTTCAAAAAAAATTATATGGTCGTTATAATTTTTTTGTTTAGCAAAGAGAGAGCTCAATAAGTTACTCGAATACTTCGTACGTGTACGTATGCTTGTAAATGCTTTAAATGTGAAGGTCATTATCGTAAGGTAGTTTCAAACTTTTTTAATCTAATCCACTTAAATTTATGATGAACATCCCAATTTAAATTTAAGCTATGCATAATTTATGCATATATATGCATATATTTAGAAAAATAATACATTTATAGAATAATCCGCAGTCAAAATAAGTTGATGTTGACGAATTTCAACAACGTCGTTTAAAGTCAGTATTTCAAAAAAAATTATATGGTCGTTATAATTTTTTTGTTTAGCAAAGAGAGAGCTCAATAAGTTACTCGAATACTTCGTACGTGTACGTATGCTTGTAAATGCTTTAAATGTGAAGGTCATTATCGTAAGGTAGTTTCAAACTTTTTTAATCTAATCCACTTAAATTTATGATGAACATCCCAATTTAAATTTAAGCTATGCATAATTTATGCATATATATGCATATATTTAGAAAAATAATACATTTATAGAATAATCCGCAGTCAAAATAAGTTGATGTTGACGAATTTCAACAACGTCGTTTAAAGTCAGTATTTCAAAAAAAATTATATGGTCGTTATAATGACATTGTTTGCAAATACAACTTATCAATGGGTTGTATTTTGACTGGTTAAGCCATTGTTATAATACTAAATTTGACTCATCTCGTGTGTCATACAATTTAGTTGTAAGTTGGCCCCTTATCGTCAATAGTCAGTAAAACATCCAAATATGAAACAAATTTGGCAGACTCTATGGTGTCTTTTATTTCAAATTCACTGGGATATATCGAATCGACATATGAATGGGAGTAACTATTGTTATTTGATAAAACTTCGTCGATACGTCTCAATGAAGGCCACAGAATGTGTTTTCTTCTTCTCATGTAGAAGGTTTTTGAATGAATTTTGCTTCAAAGGAATATTAAAACACTTCGTCTAATAAAGGAGCATAATTAGGACCCATGTTGACTTCAAACGACACTGTTGAAATCCTTATTTCATCAACTTATTTGTCAATAGCTTGCCTCGTTTTAGAAATTGTTTGTACTTTAAGCCATGGGATTTCTGACTGATTGTTGAACGATTTGATCTCCAAAAACTACATAGATATTGTAGAAAAAAAAAACCAATTACTCTGATGAAAAACTGAAACGAGTTGAAAAATAAACAAGAGGCCCAATGGCCTTAACACCTGAGTACAATACAAGAATTTAAAGGATCCATATACTATAAAATAAACTGATAGATGAAGTTTTGTTGCCCAAAAGCAAGAGAAATAGAATGATCAGGATCAACGAAAAAGTTCATATAGTATTCAGTTACAACTCATAAAGTAAGTTCTAATCTGCCCCCCCCCCCTCCCCATTTATCACTATCACCACGCAGACCTTTAAAAAAATATCATTGCTTCTTTACTATTTTTAAACCCCATATTATTACCTCTCGCATTGGCCTCTCTTGGTCTTTGAAGAACATTTAATAAGTTATTTTCGTCTGATTTTTATTTATCTATTATTTACAAGTCTACCTGATTATTAAAACTATGAAAGTACTTTTTTGTATTATTGCATCATTCCCTTATTCTATTAACTTTTCAAATACACTATTTATAGTGATTTATTACCAAATGTGAATGGCAATGGGGAATTACTTCTCTCTGTAAAATACAAATTGATAGAGCCCTGGCCAGGAACAGATTGACCAAATGGTCTAGATGTTCACAAATCTGGTAAAAATACTCCTGGTTATTAAAACTTTTACTCTGTTTGCCTCCGATATGTCCAGGAGGAGAGACGATTTTCAAAGAAATAATGCATTTTTGCTAAAGACTCAACACAGTCCAACCCTAACACCAGAATTCATGACCCAGGGTCATGCATTTCACAAATTTGGAAGGGTTACCCTAATCATCATAACTATGCACTAAGTTGAATTTTTCAAAGAATTAACAAATTCACATAATATTATCAAAAAAGTCCACCCCCTAAAAACCACTAGAACCACCCCTAACTCTGCGACCACAAGTTTTAAAATTTTTGCAAGAAGCACCCTTCCTTTTCATAATTATGCACTTTGTTTATCTGCTCAATACTTAGGAGCAGACATGATTATTTAATAAAACTAATACATGTTCACTATATTATCAATAGCCCCACCGTTACACCAGAACATCTGACCTAGGGGATATGCAACTCATAATTCTGAAGAGACACCCTTGCTTATCATAATTATCAATTAGTTTCTTTTCTTTATCACCAGGAACAGAAAAGAATATTTTGAAAAAAAAATGCTTTTTCACTATATAATCAATAGAGCACCCCCCCCCCTTTCTCCAGAACCCCTGACCACGGGGCCATGAATTTCATAATTTTGTAAGAGGCATCCTTGCTTAACATAACCATGCACTTAGTTTGTTTAAATAATACCCAGGAGCAGAGAAGACGATTTTCGAACAATTAATGCTTTTTCAGTATATAATTAATAGAGCCCCGCCCTAACGTTACCACTAGAACCCTGACCCATGGGCCATGAAATTCACAGTTTTGCAAGAGGCACCCTTGCTCATCGTAGTTATGTACTTACTTAGTCTGTTTAAAAACCCAGGAGCAGAAAAGAAGATTTTGAAAGAAATAATGGACTTACACTATATTATCTATATAGCCCCTTCCTAGCCCAAGAACCCCGACCGAAGGGCCATGAATTTTACAATTTTGGTAGAGGACTCCATGCCTATTACAAACATGCCGACAGTTTGACTGTTTGATGTCCAGGAGTAAAGAAGAAGATTTTTAAAGACTGCAGTAATTTTTGTGGTTTTAGCCCCATCTCTCAGGCCTCAGGGGGGACATGAAATTCACAATTTTTATTCCCCTTTACTCATAGATGCTATATGCAAAAATTTGTTGGAATTGGTTCAGCGGTTCCAAAGAAGAAACTGAAATGATCAAATGATAACGGACGACGCACTACGACGGACAAGAACAGATCGCAATAGGTCACCTGAGTGACTCAGGTGACTTAAAATGCAGACTGATTCTTGGTACAAGAAGATGAATTTTAATGACAGTACTTATCATTCTCTGCCAGCCCGTAATACCTGCAGAAATCCCAAGAGATTAGTTTTTAATAATTATTTAAGAATACAAGTCAGTATGATTTTGTCTGCGTGAAATAAGTTTATTTAGTAGGTATTATTCACAAGTAAAACAATTTTAGTCTGTACATAAACACGAACAGAGATGTTCA